GTTCAGCCAGCAGATGAAAATAAAAATACGCTACAATCACACTCTGCTAGCCCAATGCCAACCTTCAGCAGAGCTTAACACGCAGGGCAACCTGTGCTAAAATTATGACAATTCCACCCTCTGTTTGCCAGCTACAACAGCTCACCTGCTGACTGAAAGGAGTTCCCATTTAGCAACAGGAATGGAAATAAAACAAACAAAAACACCAACCCCCCCAAAAAAAACAAACAGAAGAACTCTGGTAAGCACCTAAGTAGTCTTTCTAGTTAATTCAGATTACAGGTACTTGAAGGAGACAGTTCTACTTCTCACATCCATGAACAGCTCACGGGACCAAGGACTCAGAAGAGTTTTAATCCCTCTCCTGCTATTGCCTTTTGGGTGACATTCAAAGCACCAGCCTAGGTGTCTAAACTGCATGGACTGTAACTGCAAGACCTAGTATTTCCTAACAGGAAAATTCCTTCAATAGTACACTGTAATCATGACAGAAAAATACAATACAGTTCAACAAGTATGTAAAACAGTATATTTTTTCCCCGTGCCATTTCCCATAACTCATCATCAGCTTCTTACTGACATATTAATTCATAATAAACTGGTTTTATGCAGTGGTGGCACAGTTGCATGACTAGCTTCACATTGATAAAATGGAAATTTGAAAGGATGCTTTTTTAAAAAGTGTAATGTTTCAAAATTAGATCTTAAGAAGCAGCACTGAAGATTAAAAAAAAAAATACTATGGAAGATATTTAGGACTAGCAAAGAAAGTTGACTGAAATCTGCATTTTATTTTTTTCCTGACGGTGTCAGGGATTTTTTTATGACAGCAGAAAATTAAACTTGTTTCATTAACCTAAATATAGCTGTAAAATATTTTCAGTGGAAATAAAGGCTTTACTTGTTAAACGTCATGATATCCTGACTGATTTAGTGAGCCCTGCTACTCGGCCTGCAAAAGGATTTCTTAGGACGACTCAATAAGTTTTCTCGCATCCAGCTGGGCTAATGGCTAAGACCCTTAGATGGAGTCTTTGGCACAGGTCCCATCACACTGATTTCATCTATCGGCAACTCTGGAAAGTGAACTTGAACTCAGAACCCATACTACCAATCATCCAAACACATAAACATCGATCGTGCTAATTCACAGGAGTGTAACCACAAGGCTAAGTAAGTATCAACGGAATTTTCCTCCCTGATCTCAATGCTACTCATTAAAATGGAGCTGCATTACCAACTCTAGCGCAACATTTACCTATGCCACATGTCAGAATGCTAGATAAAGATATTTTTTACTACCTGAATTATCTAACTCAACAAAATAGATCTTCCACAGCTTTCACGTCATTAGTTTGGTTTGCAAGCAGAATTTGCAGGCTGTTTATTTCCTATTTTTCAAAGTGTTAAGTTCACCAATATCCTCTTGAAAGCTCTGTGCCATTCTGCATAATATTTTATATGCTTACCGAAAAGCCTGTAATGTCATAAGTCCAAAGCTCTTTTTAAAAACGGCATTGTAACCATGACTAAAAAAAAAATCTGCAAAACTGACACTTTTACTGTGCTGTGTCTGTATTGATGCACCACTGGGAAAGCAGCCATTTTTTTAATTGTCACTATGCATTTTTTAGGAACTCAAACAAATACTGTATATTCATTTTATTTTTTTTTTTAAAAAGGATATATTGTTTTTAAAAGCTTCCATCAGGTAAAATCTGAACTGCTGTTTTAGGCCACAACTTTGATTTTTTTAAAATATATACATACAGAGAGTATACATATCAGATAACATTTTTTGCAGCTGCTGAATACTCTGTAGATAAAAGGAACGAGGATTCTGCACATTTATCTGTCTTGTCCTAATACAATAGACGCTATCATGATTTCAGGCTTTGTACTTGTTTATCATCAGTGTTTCCACTGTAACCATGGCATCAGTATATAGCACAGGCTTAGCAGTGAGAAAAATACCCTGTATTTTCCTAAAAAAACTCAACTCTTAAAAAAATACAAGGATTTGCACAATGGCAAAAAAAAGCCCCAATCAAAGCAGGTGAGCTGACTAGAGAGAAACAGTTTCTTTTTTGGGGAAAACCCACAAACATTGTTTCTTTGCAAGTCTTTTTTGTATTTTGGACTTCTGACAAGAACCTGAAAATATATTACAGGGTAAGTAACATAACCTTGACCCAAGTGCAGACATTATAAAACAAATATTGACATTTCCTTTCAAAAAATACAGGCAGTATTATACGAGATCGAAAGCATTAAAGCTATTAATATATTGACAAGAGCTGTTCTCAGCACATGAGCATTTTCTCAAATCTATTTAAATAGTGACAGTCCAGTGCTGCAAGAATTGTTGCATCACTCCGAAGGTAAAGAGAGGCAGCAGTGCAATTACATCAAACGCCCTCATCAGGTATGTGGTACCCAGTTCAAACTTCCAGGACTCCTTAAAGGGAAACCCTCAGTATGACACAAAAAGACTTCATGGTCTCCAAGAGTGTTTCCTAGGTTGCATTTATGTGATATTTCAGGCAGTAAGGAGGAATGGGGTCCTGTGATTGCTACTTTTAACTTGCTTGTTATAAGGTTGGGAAAGAGTACTACAAAAATATCTGCCTTAGATGCCAAGAATAAAATGAAAAAAATTAGTCCTCTTATTAAACAGAAGAAACTGACTGTGTCATACCAGCATATCTTAGTCTAACGTTGGTTTAGGCCACGTACTGGGAAACCCATTCATTTCATAAATGACTTCTCTTTTTCAGGTTTTAATATAGACTCCAGACACTGATAAAGATACCAATAAATCTATTTACTTCACTACGGACTAGATAGAGACGTCATGGCCACAGGCCTTATTTCAACTCAGGGAAATCGGACAGAAAAAAAACAGTGTGATTTTCTAAGAACTAGCTTTCTGGAGGGCCCTTTCTAGTCAGAGTCGAGTAAGCACACTTGGTATTACAATAACAGTGACACATTGAGCAAAAGGGAAGATTTTGGAAAGGGTAAAGCACACTCCTACAAAAACTTGCCTCCCCACCAATTCTAACTGTGACAGGGAGACGGTGGTGTACACTGCATGGTGTATGCACCATAGAAGCAAAGTCCAAACTATCAGGATTTACGGCACAAAACAAGGTAAGTGATGTTTCAAAAGCTGCGTTATAATGAGCTGACCAGTTATGATCCACTGTCATGTCCTCAGTTCTATCACATCTACAGACAACAAATGTAGTCACTCCCTCTTCTCCTCCCACTCAATGAACGCTGGACAGCAATGAATCCTGGTGCAATAAAACACAGCATTTATCCCATTCAGCAATGTAGTTCCTCCCAGACCATGTTTATAATGGGCCTCAATCTGTCAAATTCCACTATTTATCTATGGGAATGTGTTCAGACATTTGAGTTCACCTTAAAAATCAAAGCCAGGACATACTTCAGCACACTAGCCCCACCAAAATTTAAACTTGGCACCTGCAGCCTGCAAGGTCCTTCCTTGGCAATAAACTCACAACATGTACCATACACAAAAAGAACATAGGAAATCATTATTCTTTCAGTAAAACTCTGTCATGATGTCCTCAGTCCATTGCTCTCACAGATGAAACCCCTCTTGATTTCAGGAGAGCCACAACGTGATTATCATTCAATCCAGGTAAAAGACATCTGCAATACTGCTGCATTTGTCTTTTCCTGATTTGGCTACTTTTCCTCTGCCTATAACCCAGTTTTACCATCCAAGCTTACTAATGTGTAGCTTTTACAGAGCATCAGAACAATCTAGATCCTAATTATCACAATGTAATATATGTAGCAGAAGCAAAAAATATTTTAAAGTTGTAAACATAAAACTTTTAATAGTAAAGTTACACAGCTCCTAATCAGCATAAATAGAGCCTAATTCTTTCCATCACTCTGACACCTCTTTATACCACTGCATTAAGTAAAGAAGCCCTAAAGAATACAATGAAACTCAGAGCTATTAGCTCTCGCTATTTTTACTTTGGTCCTGGGTTTTTTGTCTGTTTGCCAAATAAATAGTGCCTGGACTGGTACACCTGACCATAATAAACACATAAAAAGATGAGCATAAACATTTCAGACGCTGGTCAAGCAGAATACATCTAAAATGAGAAGACAGCTAGTATTGCTTTATTATACAACGTACTTAAAGCATATACCATTTAACTCTTTAACTGCAGAAACGTGAAATGTGTATATTCACATTTCCTGTCTTTCTTTTTTTTTTTAATTGTTTGATTTTTCTATGTTAAACCATAGTACCTAACAATGTCAGACCAAGGATTTTCCAGCTTTTTTGTATACCCACTGGGGCACATTGGCCTCTGGGTCTTTCAGACACTGTAGAAACTGTTAGACACATTATGTATACAGGCATCAGAATTTGTCTGGTTGGGGCCAAAATCCATCAGGACCCTTTCATCAGTTTCAGGCATCTGAAGAAGCACTGCAAGAGCTCTATGCATAAAGGTGTTGATCATCTTTCAAGTGACACGAAGACCCTAAGTGTCTCATATCGGAGGTCAGGTCTGGATTTTTAAGGCTCATCCATTGTCAGGCTGACCAAGAGCGTTCACACTGAAATGATGAATTTGGTCTAAGTGCTGGATCTGGGGTTTGTGGTAACATCCTGTTACGGATGCGTTTGGTTGAGGTTTCTCAAACACAATAAAATAATTAGACTTATATGTACGTAACGTGATTTCAGAAACTGAAGCAGTAATTACATATCTCTCACTCAGATTCAGCACATTTTTCTTTCCTCCCTTGCCTGTAGACCACATGCACTAGATACACAGTAACCACGGCTATCACAGCATAACAAAGCGTGGCAGTAAGGAAAAGCCTTCAGAGCCATTACATGTCCTTGACAACTTGGCTCTGTAAGACAGATGTTGCATCCAGAGCCCTTCCACCAAAAACCATACGTACGTGTATGTATCGACAGCGCCAACACTTACCCAGTCCTCGAAGTGGCGGCTCCCATTCTGCAGCAAGTCCTCAAACTGTATAGTGCAGTTAGCTACAAAATCGTCGTACCCGATGGGGGCATCGTGGAAAACAGCCATCTCTATCTTCCTGCCATTACAAACATCGGTGACAAACTCATCGTTCCAAGCAGGGCTGTTGGTCTTTTGCTTGGTCGAGGTCTGCCCGATCCTGGAGTCGTCCACATTGAGGGCTATGTAAGGGTCCAGCAAAAAGGTCTGTGGCCTGGGACCCACCGCATGCCTCAGAGACCACGCCGTGGGCTTCAGGTTCACCGCCTCGCAGATCTTGATTTTCAGCAAGCCATTGAAAACCACCATGGCTGAACGGCTGCACTTTTCCCGGGCTTAAGCACTCGCACAACGCACTCGCACCCAGCGGGAAGGAGGGAGGGAGGGAGGGAGGGAGGTCTCGCCAATAAATAGGAGGGCAGGTCTGGGAGTGGGGGAGCAGGATACAGTGCGGGTCTCTTCGCCTGGCTGCTGCTGCTGTTACCTTTGATTATTTAGTCTTTGCTCTTGCGACACCCAGTGAATACATTTATTTTCTTGCCCGTGTTTCTA